CTCTTTTTATGAACTAACAAGTTCATCGTGAGCTTTAAGACTCTTATTACAGATTAATGAGTTTGTCGTGAGTTCCAAGTCTCTTATTATGAACTAATGAGTCTGTCGTGAGCTCCAAGGCTCTTTTTATGAACTAACGAGTTCATCATGAGCTCCAGGGCCCTTTTTATAAATTAACAAGTTTATCGTGAGCTCTAAGGCACTTATTACAAACTAATGAGTTCGTCGTGAGCTCCAGGGCTCTTATTACAAACTAATGAGTTTGTCGTGAGCTCCATGGCTCTTTTTATGAACTAACGAGTTCATCGTGAGCTCCAGGACTCTTATTACGGACTAATGAGTTCGTCGTGAGCTCCTGGGCTCTTCCTATGAACTAACGAGTTCATTGTGAGCTCTAAGGCTCTTATTACGGACTAATGAGTTTGTCGTGAGCTCCAGGGCTCTTATTACAAACTAATGAGTTCGTCGTGAGCTCCATGGCTTTTTTTATGAACTAACGAGTTTTTCATGAGCTTCAGGGCTCATTTTATGAACTTACGAGTTCATCGTGAGCTCTAAGACTTTTATTATGGACTAATGAGTTCGTCGTGAGCTCCAAGGGTCTTATTACGAACTAATGAGTTCGTCGTGAGCTCTAGGACCCTTATTACGAACTAATGAGTTCGTCGTGAGCTCCGGGCTCTTCGTAAGAGCGAATAAACCGCAGACTTGCTGCTTTATTAATAATCATATTGCAGGACAAACTTACTGAAAAAATTTCCTAAGATGTTCTACATTTCAGAAGTGGAGTAAAATTTTTGCCGAGTCTGCTTTCATCTAGGGTGGCCTCCTCAGAAACTTTTCGTTTTGTTTCAGCAAGCATTGATTGACGAGGCGAAGTGCCTCTATCTCGTTATTCATAGGGAGACCCCCCCACGGGTGGATTAGTCTCTTGGATGTTCTTAGGTTGTCTGCTATTAGTAGCTTCTTGTTGATCTTGCATCCGTTGTGGATTTGTCTGGCCTCAGCTCATGTTTTGCGTTGTTACCATCAGTCATTGAAAGATCAGTTTATTTATGATGGGAACAGTCGTTTCCACAGACGGCGTCAAACTGATGGTGTATTTTAACGTGGATGAGCAAAAGGTGCAAGTAATGTGAGATGAGTGTGGATCAGAGCTTCAAGGCTCGAGTTTGATGATGCAATCAAATATTAAGGGGATTAAAGGGGTGTACACAGTAAAAATATAGTAGTTCATCGACTAGGGAGCTCGACTAATCCACTATTCAATGGAGGCTATGACTCATTTTTCTTTATTGATCATACCAAAGGTTTACAGAATAGGTTTTTGGTCATTCGGTCCCCTCCCCCCCCTGTTAAGGAGTGCTACCTTGCATTTATAAGGTCATTCCCTGCTCAGAAGGATCTTAACTGAAATTCTTGCCCTTATTTCGTGGGCTTCTCCTTAATTCTAGAAGAAGATCTTGGTTGGTTGAGATTGAGTGTGTTGATTACAGCTTCCTAACGCTTTAAGATCCTCTCGTGGTTATCCAGATGTTATCTTGCCTTAAGAGACACTCGGCCCTTACCCTCTGACCTCTACTAATGTGCCTGACCTCTTGGTTCGAGCTGACCTCCTAAGCTTAGCACTTGAAATTTATTTTAGGTATCATCAGTAATCGTTGGATTTTTCTATTTGAAACCGTTGGATAGATTTATTGAAACCTGTCATATTTTATATTATATAATTGATGTAAACCCATCACAGACTTGACATGACATGAACCCAAGAATGACAAACTCATAAAAAGGTCAAGTTAGTATTAAACATATAAAACCCATCTTGCTGGAATATAAGAAGAAAATGAGTACTTTTTATCTGAATTATGCTAGAATTAAGTAGTTGCTTATTAACACAAATATGGTATAAACCACAATAACACGCTACAAAGATGACACAACACGACTCGATTGACAATTTTAATGAAAAGCTTAATATTTGATGTATATGAGAAGATGACAAATCTTTGAAATGATCTAGTAATGGATTTTTGGAATCAATAATTTGTTTAATCATCAATAACAGACATTTTTTAGATTACTCTAATGGGTTTATTTTGAGTTGGTCGAAAACCTCAGTCTTTTTTGGCTTCAGTGGAAAAAAAGTCTATTCCATTTGGATCTAGGCTTATTGGATGGCTTTTTCATCAGTTTTTTGGACAAAAAATAGCTTTATCAACACCAAGGAAAAGCTCAAAAATAGGACTTATCCAATGACTTCCAAAAAAAATCGGTTTTTTTCGAAAACACTCCAAAAGGTTCCCAGAGTTTTTATAATTATGACTTTTTCAATTCACTTTTAAATCTCTGTTTCGCATAAAAAAAAAAAATCAACTCCAAACTGCTCAATATATATAAATATGCTAATTAAATTGTCAACTCCTAGTTATTCAATTAAGAATATCAATGATGAGGACATCAATTCCAATTATGGTTCTATTTTAATTACCAAAAATGGAGTTCTGTTATACCAACACCCTCATCCACAGTTTCCCAACTGATTATTTTATTACTAAAGAATGAAAATATAGCTATCGGCCATATGGCATCTATTTTTCAAGTGCCTAAGATGTCCAGGGTCACATCTTGTCTTCTTTGAAAGATGGGAATGGTGTATGAATTTAATAATCATTGATAATGAAATTTCTGTGGCCTGTAACACATGGTTATGAAGCAGTGAAGGCTCAGTTCTATGATTGGTTTGAATTATAAAACTTTACCCAGTATAAACCTAATCAATATTTGTGTTTGCTGGCTTACTTATACAATAAGCATTTAGGGAGGTCTCTTGGATTGTGAGAATGAGTTATACTTTTTGACTGGGAATAGTGTGTGTCGTGAGCAACTCTTATGAGTGCATGCTCAGTGTAGACTTAAGGTGGGTTTTAAAATCTTCATTGTATATTTAACTCTTTTTTTTAAATAAAATATTATTTTGCAAGAAAAAAAAATTCTTCTATATGTATAAACAACATAATCACAATCGCACCAATTTCTAATCGACATATTTTAGATACTCATTTGACAACTTATCCGATCTATATATGTTGGATACTCGTATGACAACTCAATGAATAAGACTCCCATCTCATGTAGCTGATGTTGGGTTGGGTTTTCATTGGATGAGAAGTTAGCAATGGCCTATAAGATGGGTTGGAAAAAGCCTACCCAAAAAGACAAAAGAAAAAAAAAACAAAAAAAGAAAAAGCCTGATCTAAGGCAAACAATATATGGCATTCCTCTATATCATCTTTTTTTTTTTTCGTACCAAACTTCTTTGACCATAACAGTTAATCGAAGCATTTTTTTTCTACTTCTATAGGACAACAAAAAAATCGTGTTCCCCCTCTGTTTGTCTCAGATTTTATGATTGAAGGTGATTTACCTTTACAAAACCAAGGAAACAAGGGTAAGCAATAAAAAAAAGTCGTACAACGATGTTGCTATCGAAGCCAATGTAAAGAAGAATTATAGCTATATACATACGTGAATATTTGCATATACACAACTTATGTGTGTGTATGTATACAATTGTATGTGTGTGTGTATATATAAGTATACCTTATCAATTTATAGAAGGGAATGTTCGGCTCAATCTAAGATAGACAACAACTCAATTATTGATAAGCATGCGTTGATTGATGCTTGAGATGACTGAAAAATGATATGGTGCAATAAACCTTTGGGGATGGATCGAGGGTCTTCTTTTCTCCTGTTCAGAAGATCAATCATTCTCTTTGAAATCTCTCTTGTTTATGAACCTCTTTCGACTTTTAATAAAATTTATCTTACTCAAGAAAAAAAAAAGAAAATCCGAAAAGTATTAGAGAGAGAGAGGTATCATATATATATATATATATATATATATATATATATATATATATAGTTGAATGGTTTCCTTGTTTTTTTCCATTTAAAACATAGGCCCCTTTTGGAACTCAATATGGAAGAAATTTTGGGTTAACTTTCAAGCTGGTTTCAATATATCAGACAACTTGCACATAATAATTTTATTAAGGATTATAGGTGTTGTAGACTTAATCTAACTGATGGCGATAGCAGTTTCACATTTAATAAATAAATCTACCTCATAAATGTTAAGGCCATTAAGGAGCCAAGTCTTTGACTAGAGATCAAATTCAACATGGTCCATGCTTCCTTTATTAAAGCCTATCACAGAAAGTAATTGTGCAGTATAGGAGGAGGTTAACATGATTGGAAATTAATGGACTATTATTGATTATATCGCGACATGAAAGAAAAAATGACACAACTTGTTAACACGAATAATAAATAAGTCAAGTTAATATCAAACACAAATAACCAAAAAGGACATGATTAACGCGTTAATTTGTCTTGTTTGTTAAAAATGCCAAAATTTTGTTTTTATTGTAAAATAAGAGGATTTTTTTGCTTGTTCTTATACTATGTGTACTAATGGAAACTATGACTTTCAGTTTGATTGAAAAATATTAAAGTCTTAGTTTTAAATTTTTTATCCACTAGGTTTTATACGATTAATTTGAACATGACACGATAATTAAATAGCAAGTCTAGTCACAGTGAACAAATAAAACATGATTACTTAATTGATTAGTACTCGATCCTAATCCCAACTTTTTCACCCTCTCATACCATGAATTAGCCATTAGTTACATGCATATTTGAATATGCCTTAAACGCGTTTCGTGCGTCTTCGTATTTCCACAATCATCAAGTCATACATTTATAAAAATAATTAACCGAAAAGTAGCTGCTTTACTGTCAGATTTTAATTTAGCTATATTATCAATACATATTCCTTTAAAAATTAGTTAAATGAAAGAACCCATGACCCATCAAGCTTTGTTTTCTTTCTATATAAAGGAACCAATTGAAGCATCATCTCCCACGCAAACCTCTTTCAATAACCCTAGGCTTGCTTAGCTCTTTGCCGCCCAATTTTTCTCTCCATCCACAATATGGTGCTAACTCACTTGTTTCTAGCACTTCTGGGTGTGTCCTTGTTTGTTTCTCCGGCCATTTCCCGCTACACCGCCAACCCGACCGACTTAAAATCATGGTGTAGTAAGACACCCCACCCACAGCCCTGTGAGTTCTTCCTAACTCATAACCCTAAATATGGCAATCCCATCCAGCAAAAGTCTGATTTTCTCAAGCTATCCATGCAATTAGCCCTAGACCGGACCATGCATGCTCTATCTCACACTTACGCCCTCGGCCCAATGTGCCGCAATAAACAAGAAAAGGCTGCATGGGCTGATTGTCTCGAACTTTATGAGTCGACAATCGAAAAACTCAACAAATCAGTGGATCCCAACTTTAAATGCAGTCAAGTTGACGTTCAAACATGGCTCAGTACGGCTCTGACCAACCTAGAGACATGTAGAACCGGGTTCGTGGAGTTCGGTGTTACAGACTATGTAATGCCCTTAATGTCTAATAATGTGTCTGCTTTGGTTAGCAACACTTTAGCCATGAACAATGGGCCTAATGGTGAGCCGAGTTACAAAGAAGGGTTTCCGAGTTGGGTTTCACCCGGTGACCGGAAACTGCTGCAGTCTCCATCTCCGGCTTCCAGTGCCAACATTGTGGTTGCGCAAGACGGGTCGGGGAATTATAAAATGGTAAGTCAAGCTGTCACCGCCGCCGGAAAGCTGTCGGGCAGAGGTAGGTTTGTGATATATGTGAAGGCAGGGACGTATAATGAGAATGTTGATTTTGGAAGCTTGAAGAACATCATGTTGACCGGTGATGGCATCGGACAGACTATAATCACCGGTAGCAGAAGTGTTGGCGGTGGCTTCACCACCTACAAGTCGGCCACTGCTGGTAAGTGAAACAAAAATGCTCTTATATCATTCTCTCCATTATTTTTAAAGTCATGGCTATCCGTGCATTCAATTACTCGACAAACAAACGCATTGATTAAATTTGAGATTTATATTGTCAACAAAATTGAAATTCACGATATATGAATTTACGCCATGTTTCATGGTCCACCATCAAACCAATTTACGAATTGGAATAAAAGGCTGCAACAAACTTGTAACATCTCTAGACTGCAAGTAATTGAGAGGATTAGACAAGTGCTTTTAGAGATGTAAATTGGTTCCACTTATGAAAAAAAAATGTGCTATCACCAAAGAAAAGTTACACTTTTCAATACAAGTGCACTTATAGAACATTCAAAAGAGATTAAATCTAGCTCGAATTACAATGGGCTCAGAGTTTGAAGAAGAAATCGACGCAACTTTAAATATTCTCTAATAAAAAATATTTTAAATATAGTGATAACAGGAATGATGTAGTTGACGTCATGTGGTCAAACCTGATGAATAATATGACAAATTTTGAATGCTGCAAAGAGAGAGAGAGAAAATTAAGTACTATAAAGAGACGGGAAAATTAAGTACTGTAAAAGTATAAAGAGACAAGTCTCTCATTTATAGAAAATCTTGGTTGGTCCTTGGCTACGATGGCTGCCAATAAGCTAAGTTGATTGCTTTAAAAGATTGGTTATCATTAATTAATAACTCTTTCCTACAGTTCTTAGGGTAAGCCCCCACCTAGCAGAAGTCTCCTCCTTGATTTATAATCTTATGATTTTTCAGATGGACAACGGAGATACGTTAAGATTTCAATAATATTATTTGTCTCCGTTTATAAATATCTGTCGTTTAAGATTTTTGGACAGGGATTGAAGAATCTATTAAATAGCTCTAATATGAGTAAAAAATAATTGCACAAGACTAAAATATCTTTATTCAATATGTATTGGGAAGGAAAGAAATATGAAAGACACTTAGCCTCCACCAAATCTAATGCATTGAAAAGTTAAGAGTAAATTTGAAAAAAAAATATTAATTATGTTTTGGTTTCATTAAACGATAGATATTATGGAACAAAAAAAATTGTGTAAAACGACAGATATTTAGGAACGGATGAAATATTAGATTAGTAGCGAGTCTCAATTAATATTAAATTATCATCAATCTAATAATTATAAATGATTAATTCAACAAATTAAGTGAGTAAAATTAGGTTAAAATAACATTATTTCTTAAGATTTAATAGAACTATTAAACTCCGAGGGATAACTCAAGTGGTAATAGGGATGAAAAACCCAGACTTCTTGAGTTTGAACCTTGCAATCCCTTGGGGCAAGGTCATGAGGAATTTATCCTTCGTGAATATCCTAATCCAGTATGAATGGTCTGCCTTTGACTGGAATAAAGGAGATTAGTCAAAGTGTGCATAAATTGACTCAAACACTCTTGATCGTTATACCAAGAAATACCATTAAACTTTTGTTACGGTAAATTGATGTATTACTTACTACAAACATAAAATTTTGGCCCAATCATAATAATTCATTATAAATTTCAGCGGCTATGGGAGATGGATTTATTGTCAAAGGCGTCACCTTCAGGAATACTGCTGGAGCTCAAAACCACCAGGCAGTGGCTTTTCGATCTGGCTCAGATCTTTCGGTGTATTATCAATGCAGTTTTGAAGGATTTCAAGACACACTCTACGTCCATTCCCAAAGACAATTCTACAGAGAATGTGACATTTATGGAACTATTGATTTTATTTTCAGAAACGTCTCAGTCGTCTTTCAAAATTGTAATTTATATGCACGATACCCTCCTAAGAAAATCAACACTTTAACTGCTCAAGGTAGAACTGACCCTAATCAAAACACTGAAATCTCCATACACAGTTGTCAAGTCACAGCAGCTTCTGATCTAAAACAAGTTCAGAGCACAGTCCAAACATTTCTTGGCAGGCCATGGCAAAAATATTCGCGTACAGTGTTTATGAAGACGTACCTTGATAGCTTAATTGCTCCTGCTGGTTGGTTTCCATGGAATTTCAACTTTGCTCCAAGCACATTATATTACGGGGAGTATATGAACACAGGTCCTGGCTCATCAACTGCAAATAGGGTGAAATGGGGTGGTTACCATGTCATAACTAGTGCAACCGTGGCGTCCACGTTCACTGTTGGCAGCTTCGTTTCCGGCAATTCTTGGTTACCGGCCACCAATGTGCCATTTACTTCTGGCCTTTGATTCTTTCAGGGGGGAAGCAACTAATTTGAGTTTGTTGTACCTAGCAGAAAGCAATGATATTGTTTGCTAATAAAATAAGTTTATGATTTGTATTTCCAGAATTGTTCATAAGTACTAGTGTATCATTTCTCTGATAGGGTTGTCATTCTTTCTGGATTTTGTATTTGAATAATGATAATGATCTATCAAGCTCTTTGTCAATGTTCTTTCTTAATCAAAATAGAGAAACTTAATTATTTGTCCTCCCAAATATGTCTTTGTCTCATACTATCCACTCAATTATTTACGTTCTTGAATTACACCTTCAATTATAGTTTGTTTTCGAATTATCGGCATTCCAAATATTTATTTCAAATACCAAAAAATAAATTTGTCTTATTTTGTCTAAAAAACAAAGAAAAAGTGAGTGTGGTAGACATTTAGCCTTTATACAATTTGAAAATAGTTCAAAGAGTGGAATGTTCAATGTGGGAATTTCAATAATATGATACATAGACTATAATTTAAGGGCGCATAGTATGATTAATCCACCAAATCATTTTGTGGCTTTGAAACTCATAGATAGATTACGATTTCATTATCCCCAAATCCAGGTGTTCCACCTAGGTTTTGTTGCAATGAAAATTAGCTTGCAACGCTATTGACGATAATTAGCTAGGTTTGTACACTTTACTCTTTACCAGTTTTTGGTATTACTCCAATATTACTACAATAAGAAAATCGATTTGGTACCACTTTATTAGAGTCAAGAGAACTAGAAACAAACTGAAAGGAAATCGAGGAGGATATGAACACTCAAAAAAAAAATCATACAAGTTGATTACAATTATACACTCAACTTGGACTTTTCAATTTCTACTCAACTCTACTTACATCTAACACTAGACTATATTCCCTATTTATATAAGTCATACATACAACTCATACAATTACATGTAAGTACCATTACACCCACCAACTTTTATAACATCTATAATTTAAGGGCACATAGTATGATTAATCCACCAAATTATTTTGTGGCTTTGAAACTCATAGGTAGATTACGATTTCATTATCCCCCAATTCCAACTGTTCCACCTAGGTTTTGTTGCAATTAAAATTAGCTTGCAACGTCATTGAGGATAGTTAGTTAGGTTTGTACACTTTACTCTTTACCAATTGCTTGGTAATTGAATTGATATTTATCTAAGACAAACTTTGGCGCAACAATAATTTTGTTATATAATGACTGGGGCATCATTAATTTGAACAGTAGAAATAACTGATTTTCATTCGAACTTAAGATTGTACATTTAACTTTTACTGCACAAAACAGTGACATGGGTCACATGCAGCCTTTTAATTGGGAGTGGATGATTAAAAGCTAAAAAGGGATTATATCAAGCCCATGACTAGACCGAGTGTTCATCTTGTTTGACTTGGTTGTGAATCTCTGATATGTCCACGAAATCTGGTTCTAAGTTTATGGAGACATTTTCTTTCTTTCTTTTTTTTCTCTTTTCTCTTTTTTTGTTTGATGGGGAAAGTCTTAATGGCAATCACATAGGAAGAAGAGAACTAAGGAAGATATAGAAACAATTAAATAAAGTAAAATAATAAAATGTAAAAGTGATCTAAATATTACCATGCGCCTCTCGATGATGGAAGCTCCTAACCCCCTTCTCTTCCCCTGCTCCTCCTCTCTCGATGGATCCCCACCCTCTTCTCTATCCCAAATCTAGCCTCCCTCCCCCATCAAAGTTCTTGTTAGAATGGACCCAAATCCCATTTCAATCCCCATTTCAAAACCTAGGGCTGGCGCCTCCTGCGCAGCGATGGGTGTTTCGACACCTCCGATATCAGATCCCGTTGTCCAGCCCACTTTGGGCAATGATTGCCGCCCCTATTGTTCCACTTCTGCAACTTGCCAATCGAAGGAGATGTTAACGCCCACCCAACAAAAGGATTTGCTGTGCGTGGAGGTTAATGCCCCCATTAATGCTGCCATTAATGCTGATTTGGTAGAGAGTGTTACTGCTCCAACCAACAAGCTTCAACAGTCGAAGATCCCTACTAAAATAGGGGAAACCCCTGCTGTCCAGCCTAATTCTACTACAAATATCCCGTGGAATCAAATGCTAAAGTATGGTAGGAATCGCCCTAACCCAGAAACAAGCAGGATCGAGCATGACTCAATGAAACTGCAATACTTTGAACCAAAATGGGTCAATAACCGTGATGTTGTCCATCCCCCTCCTGAGGTTGCAAGTAAGGGCTGCGCCTTATGGAGAAATTGTCTTGTGGGATACTTCATCGAGAAAAAACTTTCATTCTCCACTGTGTCTTTTATTGCCCATAAGATCTGGGATAATATGGGACTGGTGGAGGTGCTAGCTAACGAACATGGTTTTTTCTTCTTCAAATTTGAGGACGAGAAGGCAAGAACCAATGTGTTGAAAGCTGGCCCATGGTTCTTCCAAGGTAGGTCATTATTCCTTAAGAAGTGGCAGTCAGATGTTGCTGTCTCTAAGGAGGATCACTCTGTCATTCCTGTTTGGGGTGAAGCTGTATAACATCCCCCTGCAATACTGGACTGATGAAGGTATCAGCTACATTGCAAGCGCGGTTGGCAAACCGTTATATCCTGATTCTCTTACTGCAACAAGGAAGAGGATTAGTTTCGCCCGCGTTTGTGTGGAGATTAATGCTCAACGAGATCTGACTGAGTCTTTTGACCTTCAGCTGGAAAGGTGTAATGAAAGTGGCTACCCTATTATGGTTAAGATTGGGGTTGAGTATCAATGGAAACCCAAGATCTGTCTTGGATGCTAGACTTTTGGGCATAACCAGTCTAATTGTTATAAACAGTCAGATAATAGGTTGGATGTTCCTGCTCCTCTTGCTTAAGGGACAACCAGCCTCGACAAAGGTAAATCCATAGTTAGTTCTACTGTGGTGGTGGAGGTGGAGGAGTTTTTCCATCCTAATGCCGCAGTGTCTCCCTCGTTTTTGGCCAACAACTCAAATAGCTTGAATGGCGTCAAGGGTAAGGCTGTGACTGAGGATCTTGCTACTCCCCCTAGTCCACCTGACATGGATAAAGGTAACCATGTACCTATAATGGATAACGCTCTTAATTTAGATGGTGGGTCCATTGTTGTTGATATTAGCCCTGCTCATCTTAAAACTAAAGAAGTGGAGAATATTACCCTAGTGGATTCTACGAATCTGTGGATCACTCAGGAGAAGAAAAAGTTGAGGAAGGTAAAGAAGAAGTCTAAGTCTGAGGCTAAATTAAAAGGGGCTGAGCACTTTAAACTCAGCAAAGTTCTCCTCCATGATTAATTTTCCTGTTGGAATATCGAAGGGCTTAATGAGCCTTCTAAACAGGTGGTGGTGAGGAAGTTTATTAGAGAATCCCATCTGGATTTGGTGGGTGTCATTGAAACTAGAGTTAGGAGTGTTAATTACTCCTCTATTATGTAGCATGTTTTTGGGCAGTGGAGATGTTGTGCCAACTACCAATGCCACACATTGGGGAGGATCTGGATTGGATGGAATCCAAAGATTATTAACGTTACTAAACGTGTTGAATTTGACCAAGTCATACACTGTCATGTTCAGCATTTTGAGAGCAACACCTGTTTTTTCGTCTCTTTTGTGTACGCCATGAATGAAATGGTAGACAGAAGGCCTCTATGGGCTGACCTCAGATACCACTCTTCTCTCTTCAGCAATGACCCATGGATCATCCTTGGAGATTTTAACATTATAAGGAACCCTAGTGAATCTGTGAGTTGTGCAGGGAAATGGTCTAACGCAATGCTGGAGTTTGAAGATTGCTTACAGGACTCTGAACTTGAGGACCTGAGATATTCTGGGTTCCACTTTACCTAGAGAAACAAGAGAGAAGGAACAAGGTTTATTAAAAGGAAACTAGATAGGGTCCTCGTTAATCATGCTTGGAACACAATTTTTCACCAAGCTGCTGCTGAATTTCTCCCATCTGGTGTCTCTGATCATTCTCCGGCTGTTGTTAAGATGGGTAGCAATGCCAGGCGGAAGAGGACTCCATTCAAGTTCTTCAGTCACCTTGCTGATAAGTAGAACTTCTTAGATACTGTGGCACAAGCTTGGGTGACTGGTGTGCAAGGATCTCTCCAATTTAAACTTTTGTCCAAGCTAAAAAGGCTCAAAAGTGTTTTTAAGAACTTTTGCAAGGAAAGAGGGCACAACACTGAGCTTGTACAATCTGCTAAAGCTGCTCTTGAGAATTGCCAGATTAATATTGATAGGAACTCTTCTGATCATAACCTGATTCAGGAGGAGAAGAGACTCTTGGCTTCTTATCTGGAGGTTGCCAAAGATGAGGAATTGATCTTTAAGCAAAAATTTAGGATACTGTGGCTCAAGGAGGGTGACCAGAACACTAACTTCTTCTTCAGATCTATGATTAATAGAAGAAATTGGAAGAAAATTACCCCTCTCAAAAGAATGGATGGGTCCCTCACTAACAGTGAAGAGGAGGTCAAGACTGAGACTATTGATTACTTTAAGCTTCTCCTGGGAAAGCCTTGTTACTCCATGCTAGACAGTGAGGGAAGCAGAAATCTTCTCTCCATCATCCAAAGGAAAATTTCAAACCAGCAATCTGTGTATATGCTTAGGGGGTTCTCCAGCAAGGAAATCAAGCAGGCCTTCTTTTCTATGAGCGACCATAAAGCTCTTGGACCTAACGGTTTTAACCCGTATTTCTTTAAGAAGGCCTGACCTATCATTAGACAGGAGGTCACTGATGTTTTTAAGGAGTTCTTTGTTCATGGCTTGCTTCTTAAGGAACTCAACGCTACCATCATCACCCTAGCCTCGAAGGTCCCTAATCCCACATCTATGAATGACTTTAGACCAAACTTTTGTTGTAACACCATCTATAAGGCTATCTCCAAGCTTATTGCCTCTAGGCTTAAGGAAGTTATTTCGGATATCATCGACCATAGCCAAGCTGCCTTTATCCCTGGCAGAAGGATCGGTGACAATATTTTAATTTCTCAAGAATTGTTCAGAAACTACCATAGGAATCAAGGTGCTGCTAGGTGTGCTATCAAGGTGAATTTGAGGAAATCCTTTGATACTATCAATTGGGGTTTCTTAATGGATACCCTTGAGAATTTGGGTTTTCCTTTACTAATTAGGGATTGGGTTTGGCAGTGCATCTCTACTCCCAAGTTTTATGTTAATGTGAATGGTGAGCTTGTTGGGTTCTTCCCTAGCATGAGAGGCTTAAGGCAATGAGATCCTATATCCCCTTACCTTTTTATTATTGCTATGGAGGTATTCTCTCTCACTGTTAAGCATCATGTCTCCTCTAACGACTCCTTCAAGTACACTGGAGATGCAAGAATGTTAAGCTCACCCATCTTATGTTTACGGATGATGTCTTGCTCTTTTGCCATGGGGACTTCCTTTCCACCAATGTGCTCAAGGCTTCATTGGACCACTTCCAAGCTATGTCTGGGCTACAAGTCAACCAGGCTAAAAGTAGTCTCTTTATGAGTGTTATCCATAATGAGACTAAGGACCAAATTGTGCATCTTTTCGGCTTCCCTCTGGATCAACTCCCTGTTAAGTACTTGGGCATCCCACTGATATCCACTCGCTTGAAATCACTCCATTGTAATGAACTCAACATTAAAATCGAGAAGAGAATTAGCTCATGGACTAACAGATTTTTGTCCTTTGCTGGCAGACTGACCTTGATCCACAGTGTCATTCACAGCATGTAGTCTTATTGGTCTGCCCATTTATTCCTGCCTCCACAGATCATTGACAGAATTGAACAACTTATAAGGCATTTTCTATGGAAAGGGACTGAAATGAGGAGCACTGGTGCTAAAGTCTCATGGGATGATGTTTGTAAACCCAAGGAGGAGGGTGGTCTGGGTATCAAAAGGATCAAAGATTGTAACATTGCTATGATGATGAGGTACATTTGGTTGCTTTTTACGGATAAGCAAAATTTGTGGGTGTTATGGGTCCATACTTATCACTTAAGGGGCAGAAGTTTCTGGAGAGTTAAAGCTTCTCAGACCTATTCTTGGAACTGGCTGTGTCTGCTCAAACTACAGTCTTCAACCAGGCTGCTTATCAAGCATGAGATTGGGAATAGTCAATCAACTAAGCTTTGGTATGATAATTGGCATCCAATGGGTCCCCTAGACTTATGTGTTGGTATGAATGGTATTGATAACTCTCTGTTCAATTTGGAGGAACCTGTCAGTAGTGTTATCAACAATGATCTATGGCAATGGCCACTTTTCTCCATCCCTCCTCACGATGTGGTCATTTCCATGCCTTCCTATTTTCCTAATTCTGCCCTTGAGGACTCTGTCAAGTGGATCCCTAATGGTCGACTGGGATTTAGCTCCTATTCCGCTTGGAATCATATCAGATCAAGGGACTCCCCTGTCTGTTGGTATAAGCTTGTTTGGTCAAATAGATCCATTCCTAAGATGAGTTTCATCCCGTGGCTTGCTGTTAGGAACAGGCTGAGTACTCTTGACCGCATGCAATCCTTCGCTGCTCACCTTGGTGTTGGATGTATTTTATGCATGACCTCTCCCGAATCTCATTCTCATCTTTTCTTTGCATGCCCTTACTCCTCTAGTGTTTGGTCTGTTACTCTCTCATTTGTTGGGGAGTTATGGCAGCCTATGCCTTGGAATGACTTTGTTGCTTGGGCTGCTCTTAATTGGAAGGGTAAGTCAATGAAGTATCTGATATGCAGACTCTGCCTTGCAGCCACTGTTTACCACTTGTGGATGGAGAGGAATAATAGAAAATTTAGAAACCAATTTAAGGACTCTTTTTCTATTACCCATTTAATTCTACAGACTGTGTGAAGTAGATTGGCTTCCCTTAATTTCAAGTCCTCCTCTAGAAATCTCCACACTATCCAGCATTGGAGACTCCTAACTAGTTGCCTCACCTAGTTGTTTTTCTGTGGTTCCCCTGTGGTTTTCCCCTTTTTTGGACTCTGCTTTGTTGGTCCTGTTGGCGTTTCAGTTGTCCTATTTTCTTGGGTACCATGGTCTTATTGATCGAGCTGATGGGTGGTGGGTTCTTACATATATTGCTCTATCCTTCATGTGTTGTTGGTCTTTGGCAGCTGAGCTTCTTTTTGTGGCTGTGTGTTTTGGATGGCTTGTTTGTTACGGATTTACTGAATTATGGTTTCTTTCACACATTTGGCTTGTTTGGGTTTCTGTAGAGGCATTTTCTTGGGTTCCTTGGTTCTCTGATCGAGCTGATGGGTGATGTGTTCTTACGTATGTTGCTCTGTCCCTCATGTGCTGTTGGCATAAGGCTGTTGGGCTTCTTTTTGTGGTTGTTTGTTATGGATGGCTTGTTTGTTATAGCATTACAAGAATATGGTTTCATTCACACATTCAATGGCTTCTTGTAATGTCTATGTGGTTCATTCATACATGTCTTACATTCATTTTTACATTTTCAGTTTTGTATCTGTGGTATCCTAGGACTGTGGTCTTCTGCTCGATGTGTGGTTGGTGCTCCGTTCACAACACTGTTGGGGCTCTTGTTTGTTCTGCTCTGATGCGGTTTATGTTGTTTTGGGCATTGTTCACGTCACTCCATGTTGTTGTTCTTGTGCTGCGATTTGGTGCTCTCTAGTTCCTGTGGTGCTGTTCTCTGATGGTGCATGTGTTGCTTTTATGAAGATGTCTGGCCCTTCATTTCTTGGTCCTCTGTTCTTGTGCTTGTTGGAGGGATGTTCTGCATTTTCCCCTAATGGTTCGTTCCTGTTTTTATTGGCTGCTTGTCGCTTCTGCTTCAACATTGGGTTCCTGCGTTTGGGCTGCACTGTTCACGTCACTATTCACTTGACTGTTGGTGCTTCAACTGTCCTTCTTCTGCTGGACCTATTTTCTGTTTTGGGTTGTTGATCGGGCCCTCACTGCTTCTCTTGTTTTGGATTGCTGGATTTCTTCAGTGGCTTGTCCATCTGATGTAACTGGGTTCCATCTGCTGGTTCTGTTGATATGGATTTACTTTTTTATTGTTAATTAGGGCACCCCTTGTCCGTTTGTCTACTGTATTCTTTTGTAAACAATTCTGTGGGGGATACCTTCAATTTTGACATCTCTTACAGAATTGTGTCTTGAAGCTTTGGCCTTTTGTTTTGGCTTTGAGTCCTACGTGACCTCATTGTACATTTTGTTCTCTTTAATACATTTACTTTCCGAAAAAAAATAAAATAAAAAAATGTAGAAAATCCACAAACGTCTTGCTTTGGTTGGTGGTAAATAAGAGACACCACCATTGTCCCACCACCTGCCACTGCCACAACCACCACCCATCGTCACCATATGTGTGTGCATTCTGAAATCTATCAGTAATTGTGACACAAATATGTGTTTTTTGGTGTAACCATCCAACTTTTACCATCAAAACAAATTTCATAACATTCGCAAACAAATCAAATAGACAAATTCTCGACTAAATGTCCTTAGTACCCACATGTTATGGACTTTCAGAACTAAATTAGACAAATTTTCAGAATGTTTTTGAACATGAAGTTTACATAATTTGAGGAGCAAAAATGTACTGGCCGGCCACTTTCTATCCAATTTGTGACATACGTTTGAACTTGGACTATGTGAAAGCAATACTATAATTGAACGTGCAACACAAGACATATGATAGTTAATGTGTCAAAATGAGATGGGAACAAAACAATAGTTGAAAGAGTTAAAGAATACTTTTCCTTCTTCCTCATCCCCATTATTATAATTCAAAATCCAGAAATAGATATTTGACAGTTCTATCAGAATAAGAGTAATGCTAAATAGACTTAAAAACTAAAATTAAAAATTAGACTTGATAATCTCAATCATTGAATAGGTAGTGGGTGTCAATAAATGATTGAACCCACAGTGAAATCAATGATTGAGATTATAAAGTATAGTTTTTAAATTCATGTAGCATTGCTCATCGGAAGAATAATGATACAACAGTTTCTTATTGACACTTGAGAAAAAACAAATCATAAGCTTTTTCTTTTTTGCAAACAATACATCTATACCTAAAGAATATCAAATTAATTGAATGCTTGCTGGTCATGAAGAGGAGATCAAAGGCCAGAAGTGAAAGGCACACTGGTGGCCGGCAGCCAGGAATTGCCGGAAATGAAGTTTCCAACCGTGAACTCAGACGCCACGGCTGCGCTGTTTATGACATGGTAGCCACCCCATTTCACCCTTCTTGCAGTTGACGAACCAGGACCCGTATTCATATACTCCCCATAATACAAAGTGCTTAGAGCAAAATTGCCATTCCATGGAAACCAACCAGCAGGGGCAATTAAGCTGTCAAGGTACGTCTTCATATAGACTGTACGTGAATATTGCTTCCATGGCCTGCCAAGAAACGTCTGGACCGAGCCCTGAACTGGTTTTAGATCAGGAGCTGCCTTGACTCTACAGTTGTGTATCGAGATTCCGGTGTTCTGGTTAGGATCTGTTCTACCTTGGGCTGTCAAAGTGTTGGTCCTGTTAGGAGGGTTTCGTGCATATAAGTTACAATTTTGGAAGACAACCGCCGCATTTCCAAAAATAAAATCAACAGTTCCATAAATGTCACACTCTCTGTAAAATTGTCTTTGAGAATGGACGTAGAGTGTGTCTTGGTATCCTTCAAAACTACATTGATAGTATACTGAAAGATCCGAGCCAGCCCGAAAAGCCACAGCCTGGTGGTTTTGAGCTCCGGCAGTGTTCCTGATAGTGATGGCTTTCATTATAAATCCACTTCCCATAGCCGCTGAAATTACAAATGAATTAATAAGATTGTGCCAAATTGTATGTTTGTGATATACTCACCAATTTATGTGTAATAAAAGCCTAATGATGTTAGTTAATCTAAAGGTATCTCTGTTGTGCATCTGAAAAACTATAAGCATATACACCAAGGAGGAGACTTTTGCCAAGTGGGGCTTACTCTAAAAACTGCAGGAATGGAGTCATAATTAATGTTAACTTTTTTTTTTTTTTTTTTTGTCAACAGTGAGGAGTGTCTAGGGTGCACCTTAATTAATCTTCTCTTCTGTCCGGTCAAATGTAGGTTATTCACGTTAGTACTAAAATATTCATAGGGATAAATTCCTTATTACTTGACCATAGGAAGTTTTAACTAATATTTTAACAATAATGTTATTTTGATTTAATTTATTGATATAAATCATTATGACCATTAAATTGATTGTGGATCTAAACAAAAATTAGGGGTCCACCGTCAACTTTATAACTATGAATGATCATTTAATAAATTTGGCTATTAAATTATGTCTAAATAAAATTGCTGATCTTTCAAACCAAGGGAACCCTTCGGGGCCAAGGACGTCCTATGAAGGACAGACTTGTCCCTCTATAATGCTTTATTTTATTTCTTTGAGCAGCATTCAAAATTTTATATAAATCCTCAGCTTTGACCAGATGAAGTCAACTATATCATTCCCGTTCTTAACCAAATTTTAATTTCCTTTTCGTGTTCTGTAAGTGCACATGTGTGGTTTTTAATATCTAAAATAGCTCTGTGCCTTAGGAAAAGTGGACCAATTCGTTTCATTTTGCTAACTAGAAGGTATATTGACGAAAATATTGCCCAGGACAAAGGTTCATATTTTAGCCACAAAAAAGAGGGAATTACCTATGAAATTTTCCCTCAGTAAAACACTGATAACTTTTTTTTTTTTTAAGTCAATGGTTAGAGATGTTTAGATCAGTTTATGCGTACTTCAACTAATTCTTTTCATGTTATGATCAAAAGTAGGTCATCCATGCTGAAACTAGGGTATTAGTGAGAGACAAATCCCTCATAATTTAACTTTAAAAAATTATCAAAATTTGAATTCAAGACGTATGAATTTATAACTCGTCTTTATTACCACTTAAATTAACTCTTAGAGTTCACTGATAACTTTTACCGAGGATATTTTTTATGTTCTCTGAGAAAATTTTCTTCAATGAAAACTTTATTTGTTGTAGTGGTATTTAAGTCTCTTAATTAGACATTTGTCTAATCCTCCCCACCACCTACAGTCCCAAAATCATAATTTGTATGCTGGTCACGGATCTAAAGAATGCATGGCTTAGACAATAAAAAAAAAAAGTTATTTGGACCTAATTTGGGGACTTAATCTAGAGACCTAATTCAATATAATCATTGAATTGGTTGTGAGCTCCATTTAACATTGAAACTTATAACTGATCCAATAATTATATTAAAGTCACATCATTAGGTCCCAAAATTAGATTCTCAAATAAAAATCCTATGGCATTGCAAAAAAAAAAAAAGACAATGAACATAAGAAAAAGAGCATTTTTGTTTCACTTACCAACGGTGGCAGACTTGTAAGTGGTAGAACCACCGTCAACACTTCTGCTGCCGGTGATTATAGTCTTTCCGATGCCATCACCGGTCAACATGATGTTCTTCATGCTTCCAAAATCAACATTCTCCTTGTAAGTCCCTGCCTTCACATATATCACAAACCTCCCACTGCCCTTCCTTTTTTTGGCCGCAGCGACGGCTTGAGTTATCGTCTTATAGTTCCCCGATCCATCTTGGGCCACCACAATGTTGGCCCGAGTTGCCGGAGACCGAGACTGCAACAGTTTCCGGTCACCGGGCGAGACCCAACTCGGAAACTTTTCTTTGTAACTCGGCACACCATTCCCATTTTTCCCTTTGTTAATGGCCAAAGTGTTGCTTATCAAAGCTGAGACATTGTTTGACATTAAGGGCATTACATAGTCTGTAACACCGAGGTCCATGAACCCGGTTCGGCACGTCTCGAGGTTGGTTAAAGCCGTGCTGAGCCATGTTTGGACATCAGTCTGGCTACATTTAGTCTTGGGATCCATTGTTTTGTTGAGCTTTTCTATGGTCGATTCGTAAAGCTCGAGGCAATCAGCCCATGCAGCCTTTTCACGCTCATTACGACACTTTGAGCCAAGACTATAAGTGTGAGACTGAGCATGCATGGCCCGGTCTAGGGCTAATTGCTTGGAAACCTTGAGAAAATCAGATTTTTGCTTGATTGGAAGGCCATATTTAGGGTTATGGGTAAGGAAGAACTCACAGGGCTTTGGGTGTGGTGTCTTACTGCACCATGATTTTATGTTGGCCGGAGTCGGCGGAATCCGGCAAACTGCCGCAGAAACAAAGAAGGACAGAGAGAGAAGAGCTAAAAACAGTTGAAGAACCATTGGTAGCATATTGATTGTGGCAAGAATTGGAGAGAGAAAATGGGTGGCAATGAGCTAAAAGGCTAGGGTTTTTTGAGAGCTTGAGGTTTGAGTGGGGGTTAATGCTTCAATTAGTACCATTATATAGAAGAGAAACAAAGCCATGTCTAAGACAATTGTAATGGTGATGGGGATACACCACTTTCAAATAGTTCTTTCTTGTGGTATTTTTTTTTTTGAGTAAATTACACAAACTCTTAAACTATGATATTTGTGTCAATTGAACCCTTAGAATTATGTTTCGTGTAAATTGAGCACTTAAATTTAAAATTTTAACAATTAAGCCTTTGAACTAATTTTTAAGTCAATTAAGCCTCTAAACTTTAAAATTTTAGCAATTAAGTCCTTATATCATCAGCAGCCGTTAGGCTTTCAGAGAAAATGTCTGATGTGCTCACCACATGAATAATAAATTAGAGGTATTTTAAATTATTCATTTGAAACCTATCAGACGAAGAAACTTCATTTCTTTCACACGTCAGTTAAAACCCTAAACTTAAACCTCTTTTATACCCCTTAAACGAAGCAGATCAACAAGCTATTCAATCTGGTGTAGAAAATAGATTAAATAAATGTAGACTTTTTGAATGAAGACTCTGAAATACTCCAAATGTTTTGTCCACGTGATGAGCACATGACACATTCTGTCTAAAAATTTGACGACTGCTGACAGAATGACTTAATACCTAAAATTTTAGAGTTTAGAGGTTCAATTGACACAAATTAGTTCAGAACCTCAATTGATACAAGGGTCATAGTTTAAAGATTATTTGTGTAATTTACTCTTTTTTTTTTTTTAAGAAGAGCCATCAAGATGATATATTCTACTGTTCTCAAAGGAATATGTATATGATAATATTTATTAAAAAAAAAAAATCTACCAATGAAACAGCTACTTATTCGTTTGTTTATTTTTGGGAATGTTGACTTGAGATTGAAGTACTAAAAGGACGCATGAAACGCGTTATGACTTATTCACAAATGCAAGGAATTAATGAATGAATCATGGTGTGAGACCACGTTGGCGCTGGGCAGGTATTGAATTCATATCAATCTATTGATTAAGTGGGGTTGACGGGTTCAATTATTTACTATTTTACGTCCGTTAAAATTAAACTTGATCTCATTAATTCTATGTTGATTTTGTGTCATGTCTCCAATTGTGAGTCTCATTGGCGTCATACTTGGAGAGTTGGAATTTACTTCACTAACATTTTTTGTGATAAGCTTTATTTTTTATTATTATTATTTTTAGTTCAACGGTTAAGGATATTCAAGTCAACTTACACGTATTTCGATTAATCTTTTCTACGGTCTGGTTAATGGTAAACTGTTCATGCCGAAACTAAATTATTCATGAGAGATAAATCGCTCATAACCTGATTCTAAGAAATTACCAAAATTCAAATTCAGAATATTTAGATTTATAATTCATTCATGTTATCAAGACGAGTCGATCTTAAGGTTGCAATAAGCTTTATTTTAACAAAGCAAAAAATGGACAATGTTGAGTGTGATCTATAGTCAAATACTTGGCTCCTTAATGGCCTTCAGATTTATGACTTAGATAGCATCTGTTATTAATATTTATTAAATATGAAACAGCTAGCTATCCCCATGATCTTAAGATTAAGTCCAGAACAGCTATAATTCTTATAAAAAGAGTGAAAAGCAAGTTGTCTGATTTATTGAAAACAGCTTGAATAATTCAAATACAGACCAAAAAAATTTAGTCTCAATCATGATTCCAAATACACCACCAGAGTTTTTCAGAAATAACACAGAAAGTTTGTGCTTTGACTTCCAACACAACCTGTGTTTTGAGTTGGGAAAAACAATGACCTGTTCTTTTGTTCATTGATGTCCTTGTCATGGTGATCTCAATGCATGTCTTGCTAATGACATCACTCATATATATATATATATATGTGTGTGTGTACAATCCAATTTTGTTTATGTCTAATTCAAAGACTCAATGTATTATGACATTTACTTGGTAGTGAATATCATTTAACGTTAGAACTTGCCATTTATTCAATGGTCATTGAACACTAAAAATGAGAATTAGATATTTCTTTTGGAGAGAACACTAAAAATTGTGAACACTCTTTTCTCTCACCTTTGTTTGCTTACCCCTAATTCTAAAAATTGTGATTGCACAAATTTGTCAAGGTATGCTCGGATTTAGAAATTCATCATTTGAACTAATGAAACTAAAGTCATACCCACTAATTGATTGTGAATACACAAATCGTGTCTAGAATTAAAAACCTATTAATGTTATCATTTTTTTTCTCCCAAATTGGTTCCTTATTTTCATGCTAGTTTGCAATGTACAAAAATGGAGTTGTGTAAGAGAAGAAAAAATGGTGGCGGAGGAAAGGGAAGTAATGTAACACAGGCCAAATGAAATTTTAAAAATTACAACTCAAATGTATATTATTCCTTAAATGATTGAGTTTTATTAACTTTTTCACTAGAACCCACTTATCCAACGCTCTATCAAGGGATAATATGCATTCGAGTTACAATTTTTAATGTTTCATTTGAATTATATAATATTTTTTCTCGAGGGTGGGACCACCATAAAAGTAAAAAAAAATTATCTAATTAATTGTCGTCATCAAAAAGTTAGACAAGTTTACAAAAAAGAAAAATGTTACACAATTTAAATGAAATCTAAATGTATATTATGTCTTAGATGAGTGGATTCCACTGAAAAAATTAAATATGACTCACTCATCCAAGAAATGATATACATTTGAGTTACAACTTTTTAAATTTTATTTAAATTATTTAGCATTATTGAGACAAAAAATACAGGAGTTCATGGAGGAAGTCTTATTTGATTTGCTTAGGTCAAGCTTTTTTTTTTTTCCCAATTTTTTCTTTTCATTTTTTTTCATATTAATCAAAAGACAAATAACCCTATGATCATTCCATATTAATAAACTAACAACTCCACTTTGGTAATTAAAATAGTGGCTCAAGTGGGATTGATCTCCTCATGGCTGACATCTTAATTGGATAACTAGGAGTTGACAATTTAATTAAGCATATTACGTACATGTACTTAAGGAATCTAAGTAATGTTTGTTAATGCTGATTAAAGGAGTCATCTTTTCCAAAAGGCCCATTAGCTTTGACTATTTCAAAAGGTTGCTTTTCTTTCCAGTTTATATCTGGGGAAGAGAGATCAGGCTTTCACATCATCACTATTATTTACATATAGATTGTATTCCTAGCAAAAAATCAAGGGTAAATATCATAATTGGTTCTTATATTTTATTTTCGATCTTTATTTGGTTTTTAAACTTTTAATTGTTCTAATTTAGTCTCTCAAGTATAAATTTTTTCTCAATTAAGTCATTCGTATATTTTTGATAATTGAGGTGATAATAGAATCAACAAAATTTCTTAATCAAGCATAAGATCGAAGGTTGTAAAAAACCTATCAATTTTTCAAAATTTAAGCTTTTTACAACTTTTTATTCTGTGCAAGTATAATAAAATACCAATACATATCAAACAAAATATTTAGTTGCTAATGCATTAAGTGTAAAGTATAGGGAGAATTACACTCAACCCTCTAAAGTTTGTCATTTAATCACTTAGACACCTGACATTTAATATATTATACATAAACCCCAAAACACTTAAACCCCTGCGGTCAATGTCCATTAATAAATTACACCTAGACCCTTTAAAGTTTGTAGGCGTATAATATTTAGACCCTTTAAATCTAAAATATTATATTTAGATCAAAAATGCTCCAATAAAAAATAGAATATCAAACATTTTAATTTTTACAACCAAAATTCATGTTATATTCTGACATTTATTGAAATAAAATCAAAAATAAAAATGTAATTTTTTAAAAAAAAATCATAATTAGTATACAATTATATTATCTATTAAAATTTAATTTAATCGTTTAAACGACCAAATTAAACTATCAAATTATTTCAATTAAAATCAGAAAATATTATATCCAATATAAATTGACCACTTGTTTATTTTTTAGTTTTATTTTAATAGATAATATAATTGTATATTAATTATGATTTTTTTAAAAAAAATTAAATTTTTATTTTTAATTTTATTCCAATGAATGTAGAATGTCTAGTCAAAAGTCCATTACAGAATTTCGAGAAAAATGTACTTGAAAGGACTCTATATGCGAGGAAATTCTCATTAAGCCCAACACATTTGATTTAGAGCTTTCTTATAACTTACCCATTCAAGTGGCCCGAAAACTCTCCTGACCCTCTCCTAAGTCCTAACCTAGTTTACTGGCTTGCAGAACCCCCCAAGTAGTTCCCATCAACACACCTTTTTCTGATCATATATGATTTTTTTTTTTTATTTTAGGAAAGGAGAAATTTTATTTCCAAAAAGAAAGATCGACAACAACCAAAGAACAAAACGTTCTGAAAAAATATAAAAATGGCTTTAATTCTGCAAGATGGATTAAACCATTTCTACTTACATTTTTTGAAAAAATGCTTAGTACAGACCAGCAATGTACCCGCCCAGACAAAATGCAGAAGTATATCTGATCAGACCCCCACTGCCCAGGCCGTCTCAGCATACACCAATTACCTGAACAGTGCAAGTCAGAAACACTGTTCAGTACTCCAATCTTCATCAGACCACCTAACCACCTTCCAGAACCAGCCCCAAAAGCAACATCTATCCATGATCATCGGAGACCAGAGCAGATCCAGTTCGCAGAACAGGCAGCGAAAACTGATCCTGACTCACCTTCATGCGCACATCAACAGTACCTGGCCGCCTTCTGATCATATATGATTGTATGATTCTTTCTACCCACTGTGTTTTCCATATTAGTAAAAACAAAAGAAGAAATTAGATGAGTGAAACAATAATGAGAGTATGTTGCCAATTGTAACAATTATAATATTTTAGTATTCGTTAGGATATCTACCACGATTGATGCCAAGAAGGATCTCGTCTAGTGTAGGAAATGACATCAAATTTTACATTTGTTTCGAGTCCATCCCTTTATTAGGAAGCAAACTCGATTAACGAAAATCAAATTGGGTGATAACATTCGAAACCATAAATATACAAAGATTAAGTCACCCCGTGGCACATGATTTTTAATCATCTGACCAGTTCTTAGTGTGACAAAGTTATATCGCATGAGGTTAGTCCATGGAGTGTTGTGACTACTAAATTTTCGACGCAATAAGAATGACCCAAATTGACAACCAATACACCCATTTTTCTATAAACATCAATGGGATGGATAGCAAATTTGAATTATTCATGTCATCGAAAACAATAATATTTCACTTGTAATAAACCTTTCCATTCTGCATTTTATTGGAATTAGAATCTAGCAAAAATTTCATTGTCCTTGATACAACCTAAAAATTGGCATGCATGAGAGTGATGATATTCACATTCATGGTCTTATGGTGCAATCACACTAATTTACACCTTTCTTGGACTATTGGCTTTATAAATGTAAGGCCACCATAATAGATGCTTAAAAAACTATTAGCATTAACTCTAAGGAGTAATTCAAATGATAATAAAGACAATTGTAAATTTAGATATCCTGAGTTTAAATTTTGACAATCATTTGAGACCAAATCAAGAAAAAGTTATCCCTTACGAATATCCTAATCTCAACATGGATGGTGTGCTTTTGACCAAATCGAGGAAGAGATTAGTTGAAGTACGCATAAGTTGATCCAAACAACTCTGACCGTTGAATAAAAAAAACACCCACTTGCATTCATAACTTTAAAGTTAACACATATCATTGATGCCCAAAGCCCCAACCACATGTAAAGTTCCATTTTATTGATGATTATGAGCTTTTTGCATCTTTTTAGTGGAATCCTCAACATGTCCCTCTCTAGATCTATGACTATCCTATCAATGCACCAACACTCCATACCCTAATTGTTACCTACAACAACAAAGTTTTTATAGAAGCTAGGTACTACTTGAAACATTTTTTAAGTAGTTTTTGTTTTTTTTGAATACATTAACAAAGTATATGTGAAAAAAAGTGATTAGACAAGTCGAAAGTGTTCAACATGTGCCAAATATGTACGGAATAAATGATTAATTGTTTAATATATGCAAGTAATAGTTTGTTTCACTATACAAGCCTGTTGAGTGTCTTGTAATAAAACTCCTTTTTTATAGTTTCTTACATCCCATTCTTATTACATGGTAAATACTTTTGACTTATCTAATCACTCCTTTAACCACCCATCTTCATATGTTCCCATACTTTATTTTGTAAAATTTGTGTTGTTCCCATCATATATCGAGAATTGATTACATATAAACATGTTCTTTACTATTTTGTTCAATGCTTATGGTGGCAATTGGGTAAATTTTAGCATAGCGATTGGGTTTTTTTTATTATAATTTGAAAATTAACGAGTTTGAATCACGAAAAGTATCTTTTTGCATATGGAATAATAAGACTGCCTATGTATACTTCATCCGGATCTCGTAGTGATGAAAGTTTAGTTAGGTAATAAGTAATGTCCTTGGCTATCTACATCCATGGCAATTTTTGTGTTCTCTTTTCCTTTAGTGGAATGCACAAGCTTCCATGTCCTCATCCCTACGAATGTCATGGATAAGGAGGCTACAACTGTAATTTAAATGTCAAAAGTACAAAAAAATAAATAAAGTAATTTGGTCATACGTTCCATAACGCATTGAACCGTTAAATAAATAGACTTGGGAGAAAGTCTATTATACCGGAAAAAATTTTGTACCGTTCCATAAATTATTATTTTTAATGGCAAGATGACATCGTTGAATGATAACCTCATGAACGATCGTGGGACTTCCTCAACCAATTGTAACTCGATCTTTAAAAATTATAACTCAACTTTCGAAAATTATAACATTCATGATCAATCGCAGTATTTTAGGATTGATCGTGTCTGTGCAAATTATAATTTACACCTCAAAAAATTATACTTTGACTATAAATAATTATAATTTTTGATACAATACCACTATACCCACAATAGAATAACCTTTCCTAACTCTATACACGACTCGCAAATCTGAGGTAAATCCCATTGGATTTTAAATTAGGATTCAGGTCAATAATTAATATTTTGACATATATTTGCCTGAATATGACACATTTCTGATATGACTCAATTCTACACAATTATAAATAAATTGGTATAAATTGATTAAATTTATTTAATACAATTTAGATGTAATATAAATAGGATCCATCATTATTCTCCTAATTTAACAGACCTCCTAAAAGGCCACCAGCACATAATCCTCTATAAGATTCTCTCCCCATCGAACCAAACACAGTGACACATGGCCAGAACCATGGGCTATGTGTAAGCTCCTTTGAATAGCTTGATAGAGAGGGAGATTCGAATGGCTTTCTAACTCTCTACTACTGACCACCACCCTTCAAACCAAAATGTGTACTAGGGTCATCACCTTTCTTCTTCTTCTTCTTCCCTTAGTCATTCCTAATGTTATTACTTCCAACCAAGAGGCCGACGTGGTCCAAAGTGCCCAGTTCGGGCTGTTACAGGCCATGGACTTGGCTCGGGCCTCCTCGATGCTTCTCGAGTCAGCCCATGGTTCGAGGGTTCGTGGTGTAGCTTTAGGTGACTGTGTGAAGTTTTATGAAGATGCTGAGCCACGGCTCGCACGCCTGGTTTCGAATGAGACCTTCTTCAGCAGGGATGATGCGATTATTGTTAGCAAAATAGAATTTCACCAAATTAGAAGGCTTTGATCGTGTCTTCACTGTCCTTAAGGAAATTATGCCCCCATTATGTTATTGCTGGTTTTATGACAAATTCCTCTAGGATTAACAAAATCAAACAGAATTTCAGATAGTAAACTCTAAAATTCTCTCAAAAACAGAATAGAGAAACGTTTTTTTGTATATACTTCAATTGAAAGATCTGTACAGGTATTTATAATACCTTAGTGCGGAGACACAACTTTTGGACCAAAGAGATGTAAAGAGAAGACACAACTCTTAGACCAAAAGACATTTAGCAATTAATTAATACAAAAATAATTAATTATTTAAAGGTTTCAAGCCCAAGATGCGCAAGTGCCCATCTTTTGACTTTAAAGATTATTCTATTTAAAGTCTAATCAAGACCCATTGATTTTGTAACACCCCGCATTTTCTTTTATATATGTATATAGATATATAGTAAATAATTGTGGTAAAAATGTGGATATGTGTAGTGATGTGTGTTTGAATTTGGTAGATTGAAAAAATAGAGATTTAAAATGGTAGTGAAAATAATAGTTGAAATTTGGTTTTAATAAGTGAAAATATGAAATTTTAGGTCCTAGGACTTGTATTAAATAGGTTTGTTGTAAAAATATGTGTTGGAGAGGTTTGGAATGGATTTGGTTGGCTTAGGAATGGATTGGAAATGGAAAAGGGATTGAACAATGCACGTAAACAGTGCACTAGCTGCAACTTCAAGCGCGATTTCGATCTTGATGCAGTCAATATCTCTTAACACTCAAAACATGAAAGTTGTATAGATATTTTTTATCATTTCATAGCATCTTGAATCATCTCAATCGGAGCTCAGATGAGAGAGTTATGCCCAGATAACAAAGTGATGTCAAAACAGCCCAATTAGCTTAAACAGTTCACTGGCTGCAACTTCAAGCCCGATTTAGACCTTGATGCAGTCAATATCTATCCAAACTCAAAAAATGAAAGTTTTAGATCTCTTTCTTATAATTTCATAGCATCTTGAATCATCTCAATCGGGGCTCGGATGAGAGAGTTATGCCCAGATAACGAAGTGATGCCAAAATAGTCCAATTAGCTTCGTTTTGCATTTAACGTCTCCATTTGCATCCTAAATCAAAATATAAGAATAATGAGTATATTTAGGGTTCAAATAAGTATAAAAGCTTTAATAATCACCTTTTATTTGCAAACAATGCAAAACTTCATTAATAGCCGATTCGGATGGGTAAAATAGAAATTTTAGTGTTTCGGGTGTACGTTAACTTTGATTTTAAGATAAATCATAAAAATAAATGTTTTTAGGTTAAAATAACATTAAAAATAAATTCGGAACGTCGAAAAACCTTAGGGTAGTCATATGGATCAAATTGGAGATTCTTGGTGGTAAAACCGTAATTTTGGAAAAAACTAAAATAGGCTATGAACAGTGAATTTCGGGGCTGAAGTGTTTTAAACTCCATTTTCATCTCATTTGCCCTCATTTCTTTCACTCCACTCTGACCCCACACCTTTTGGAACCCTAGAGAGCATTAAAGAGGAAGAAAGGAAGAGAAAAACAAGAGATTTAAGGGTAGATTTAAGATCAAAGTTCAAGTTCTTTCTACAAGCTAAGGATTCAAAGTAGGGGTTTTCTCTCATTCACTTATATTGAGGCTAGGGTATTTATATATGTATGTTTTGGCTATCAATGATATATATATATGCTATGAAATTATCCTCTCTTAGACTTTTTGCAAGAATTACATGTTTTGAACAAAGTAAGGTTTAATACCCATGAAATCTCCTTTCTAATTTTAAAACCCTAATTTTTGGAGAGTGATATATTTTCTTCCTAAATGCTTTCTTTATTATGAATTTCGAAATCTTAGTGCTTTGTGTTGGGTAGAAAAATGATGTTATTGTGATCTCATGTATTTTCTGAGTTGGTTATGGAATTGTTACATAATATATTTTGGGAATTTTGGATAGATGCTTGTAAATTGAGATAAATGTTGGAATTGTATGCTTGGTTGAGTTGTTTGTGATGCACATGAGTGAGAGGTTCCATGTAAGGATGTTCACCCCTTCCCGAGAGGTTCCCGGTAAGGATGCTTGGGAAACAATGTAGTGATTGGTGAGAGGTTCCATGTAAGGATGCTCATTCATTCTCAAGAGGTTCCCGGTATAGATGCTTGAGAATCAAAGGTGACCTAAAGGGGGTGGAGGTTACCACAAAGTATGTCACCTACCGAAAGAATTGTTGAGAATTGGTTATGGAAATTAACGGTTATTATTTGTATGTGGTGCTCGTTTATTCATTTAAGTAATGTTTTTAAATAAACTTGAAATCTTTTTTAAATGTCACTGTTTTATTTCAAATAATGTATCTATGTTAAATTAAAAATTGAGACCGACCATTTTAAATATTTTTTTAAACCTTTTATGAGTTTGAGAGAATTTTTCTACAGAACTTCGTGCTCACCCCCTATCACTAACATTTTTCAGATTATCCGCTTGAAGAGGAGGACGTAAGGGTCGAGGAGCCCGCTACTTGGGAGACTCCACTGGACGGAAGTGTGGATCCCGAGGTGGACGCATAGAGCGACCTCCTTTCCTTTATACTAGACTAGGACATTCTTTTGTAACATTCTGTAGTCTAGCTCCTTTTCTTTATTCCGTTGCGCTTCTTTAATTAATTTCTAAGATGTAATATTCATGACTTGAGCTTATTCTTTTGGATAATATTGTAAATATTCGTGGATGACAAATAAAGTCTGATTTCTTAAGGGATTATATTAGTACTCTCATGATATGAATGGTTTTAGAATGTAATGTTGTTTAGGATGTGTTTTGGGGTGTTACAGATTTGAAATATTTGGATCTTCTCTCCAAATCTTTCCATCATCCAAATTTATAAAATTTGGCGTGTTTCTCCTTTTAAACCCTTACATTCCCTTTCAACTTTTCTAATGTGGGATTCTTTACATTACTAATTATCTCTAACAATCTCCCACTTAGATAGTAATATAAGTAATCAAAATTAACTGAAGTCTATGCATATAAATGGTGTCTTTCGACTTAAACTTGCTATTAGTATAAACATTTCAAAATCTTGTCAAAATCAATGGTTATTTAAATTTATTAAATCTTGATTTTATAGAACAAGATCGAAAATGTCATACACATAAACTTACAAGTTTCTCTAAATATGTTCACCGTGAGCTTTAGCACCATATTATGGTCTTGTGCTACCTCCTAGTTTCATGAACACTTACAAAAGTTTTATTTTCAAACTTTTGATAGAAGCGACACCACTTCTTGTGTTCATATAGGTGAAGAGCTGTTAAAGTTTCAAAGTTTGAACTTTCTTGTTCATAAAACCGTACACAAATTCTTCATTAAGAATAATTAATATTCAACCTCCTTTTCCATAAGCACTATGTATAAAACCTTGTGCTTGTTAACAATCACTAATAACTTGTTATTACCACTTAAACCTTTAAAATTGTTAAGCAACAAGAAAGGTAGGGTTTCCATTATTAGTGACAAATTTAGAATTGTTTAAGACCCATTGCACTCGTAGTACTTTTAATCATATCTCTCGAGAGTCCTTTAGTTAATGGATTAGCCAGATTTTTACCAGACCAGACATAGACAACTGTGATTATACCATCAGAAAGTAGTTGTCTAATATATTCATGTCTTAAAGCAATATGTCTAGATTTACCATTATAAATCTTGCTAAAAGCCCTAGACATAGTTGCTTGACTATCATAGTGCAAAGAGACTGCTGGCATTGGTTGTGGCCACAACTTTATATCCAACAATAAATTTCTCAGCCATTCCGCCTCTTTACCTGCCGCTGCCAATGCAATAAATTCAGATTCCATTGTGGAATGAGTAATACATTTCTGTTTCTTGGAAGCCCATGATATAGCTCCTCCACCTAAAGTGAAAATCCAACCAGATGTTGATTTGTTATCATTGATACTGGTTATCCAACTAGCATCAGTATAGTCTTCTAGTACCGAAGGAAATTTGTTATAAAACAAGGCAAATGACTTTATCCTTTTAAGATAACTGAAAACTCTTCTAATAGCCCTCCAATGTTCGGTACTAGGATTACTTATATATTTTGAAAGTTTGCATACAGAAAAGGCAATATCAGGTCTAGTACAATGCATAGCATACATTAAACTACCAATTGCACTTGCATAGTCTAATTGACTAATGGATCTATCCGAATTTTCTGCCAATTTGTTAGAAACATCAAATGGGGTATTAGCTTCTTTAATTCCCAAGTGGTTAAATTTGGAGAGAATCTTATCAATGTAATGAGATTGGCACAAAGTAAAACCCCCACTATGTTTCTTAACTTTAATCCCTAAGATAGTATAGACTTCTTCCAAATCTTTCATTTTAAATTGAGAAGTCAAGTATCTCTTGGTATCATTTACTCCTTTCAAATTGGTTCCTATGATTAATATGTCATCAACATAGAGACAAACTATTACACCATAGTCTTTAGTAAACTTGGAGTAAACGTATCTATCTGCTCCATTATGATTAAAATCATAAGATAATATGACACTATCAAATTTCTCATGCCACTGTTTACGAGCTTGTTTTAATCCATACAAGGATTTCACCAATTTGCAAACTTTCTTTTCATTACCAGGAAGTACAAATCCTTCAGGTTGTTCCATATATACTTCTTCATCAAGATCACCATTTAATAATATTGTTTTAACATTCATTTGATGGATGTATAAATCATATATTGATGCTAAAGTAAACAACACTCTTATTGAAGTAATTCTTGCCACCGGAGCATATGTGTCAAAATAATCAACTCCTTCTTTTTGTCTAAAACCTTTTGCCACTAGTCTTGCTTTGAAGGTTTGTAGAGAACCATTAGTATTATATTTTCTCCTAAAAACCCATTTACATCCGATTGGTTTGCAACTAGGTGGTAAGTCAACCAATACCCATGTTCCATTGGATATAAGTGAATCCATTTCGTCATTTATTGCTTCCTTCCAAAAATTGGATTCTCTTGATGTCATTGCATCACTATAAGTTTTAGGATCTTCTTCCAAATGCATAACAATGGGTATTTTATTTAAAATCTCATCTCTACTTCCTTCAACTAAGAAGATTATTGCTTCTGAAGAAATAAAATCAGAATCCAAGTTCTTATCTTTTCTTACCCTTTGACTTCTCCTTGGTTCACTAGGAGATTCAATTCGTTTCTGTTTATTATTTAAAGAATTTTGATCCATATTAATGTCTTGTGTAATTAGAGGTTCAACATTTTCTCTATTCGATTGTTGATTGACATTTGAATTTTCAAAAAAATTTGTTTCTAAAAATTCAACGTCTCTAGATTCTATGATAGCATTCGAGTCTATGTCCAACAATCTATATGCTTTTGAATTTTCAGCATAACCCACAAAAACACTCTTAAGAGCTCTAGGTCCTAATTTGGTTCTTTTAGGATCTGAAACTGTATAATAGGCTATACAACCCTATACTCTCAAATAGCTTAAGTTTGACCTTCTTCCTTTTCATATTTTATATGAAGAAGTTTTTGTTTTCTTTGAGGATATTCTATTGTGCACATGGCAAGCTGTTAATAGAGCTTATGCCCATAGATTTGTTGGTAGTTTAGCATGCATAAGCATAGCATTAATCATATCTACCAATGTTCTATTCTTTCTTTCAGCCAAACCATTTTGTTGTGGAGTATAAGGTGCACTCGTTTGATGAATCAAACCATTTTCTTCACAAAAAACAGTAAATTCAATTGGAAAATATTCACCACCTCGATCACTTCGTAGGATTTTAATTTTCTTTTCCAATTGATTTTCAACTAAGGTTTTATAACATTTAAACATATCAAATGCTTGATCTTTAGTTCTCATTAAATAAACATGAGTGAACCTAGAATGATCATCAATGAAAGTAATAAAATATCTATTTCCTTCTCTAGTTAAATGACCATTTAATTCACATATATCAGAATGCACAAGTTCAAGTGTTTCAGTTGTTCTTTCATTCTTTGAAAAAAGGTTTCTTAGTCAATTTTGCTTGTATGCATATTTCACATTTTCCAAAATTTTCATTTGTACATGGAATTAAACCATGCCTAGACATATACTTAATTGATCCATAATTAACATGTGATAAACGAGCATGCCATAAACTAAAAGGAGATTCAAGAATATAAACAAAAACATCAACTTTATTAATGCTCAACTTAAACATGTCATCACATGAATACCCTTGTCCAACAAAGACACCATTCATAGAAAATATAATTTTTTCTGCCTCTAAGACAGCCTTTAAGCCCTTCTTGCACAACAAACTTGCAGATATCAGATTCTTTCTCACATCAGGAACATGAAATACATTCATTAAGATCAGTTTCTTTCCAGAGGTAAACTACAATTCAACAGTCCATTTTCCATGCACCTTGGCAGTATCATGATTCCCCATCAGAACACTTTCATCCTTTGATGCAACTTCATAGTTCTTGAACAATTTTTTGTCATTACAAACATGCACTGTTGCACCAGAATCATACCACCAATCTATAGTCTTGTTAGTTGTTGTCATGTTGCATTCTGTAATCATGTTGATTTTTAGTTCAACAATCATGATTATAATTTTAGAAGAACTTGGAGGACGTTCAACAATATTTGCCTTCTTTTGTCCAGCGTTTGCCTCTGTCTTCAATCTCTTATAGAACCTGCACTCTTTCTTGAAATGACCATTCTTGCCACAGAAAAAATATGTCTTGTTCTTCTTAAAGTTGGCAAAATTATTACTTGAAGATTCAATATACTTCATTTTATTTCCAGAAGTATTACTAGTCATTGTTGATTTCTTCATATTAGACTCAATATTGTTTACTTTAGAACCAAACTCTGAAGCATTTTTATTCTCACGACTGCGAGTTTCTTCTTCTATTCGAATATGCTTCATGAGTTGGTCTATGGTAAAATTTTCAGAAGTGTGCAACAATTTCTTTTGATAATCATTCCAAGTAGTAGGCAATTTTGTAATTACCGCAGCCACTTGAAGTTGTTCAAACACTTCTATTTAAAATCCTTGAGTCTAGATACTAGGACAAACAATTCATCTACTTGTTCCATGACAGATTTATTATCAAACATTTTGAATTCAAAAAATTTTATACCGAGAAATCTGTTTGTACCTTGCTTGACAGATGTATATTTATTTTCCAAGGCACTCCAAATTTCTTGTGGGGATTTGATTGAACGAAACAGATCGTATAATCGATCAGACAGTGAATTCAGAATATAGTCTCTGCAACAAACTTCATCCTCCATGCGTTTCTTGCGGGTTGCTATAGTTTCTTCATCTTCTTTGTCAGATGGTTCAGGAATAGTTGATATATTTCCACTTAGCAGATATGCAACACCCAATTCAGTAAGCAAGAAAAATAATTTATCCTTCCAGCTTGTGAAGTTCGTTCCATCAAAACGATCCAACTTGAACACTTCGGGATTGAACTTGAAAACAGAATTTGAACCAGTAGCCTCCATTGTTGTTTAATTTCCTTAAAATTGTTAGCAAAATAGGATTTCACCAAATTAGAAGACTTTGATCGTGTATTTACTATCCTTAAGGAAATTATGTCCCCACTATGTTGTTGTTGGGTTTATGGTAAATTCCTCTAAGATTAACAAAGTCAAACAAAATTTCAGATAACAAACTCTAAAATTCTCCCAAAAATAAAATAGAGAAATATTTTTTTGTATATACTTCAATTGAAAGATCTGTACAGGTATTTATAATACCTTAGTAAGGAGACACAACTCTTGGGCCAAAGAGATTTAAAGAGGAGACACAACTTTTGGGCCAAAAGATATTTAGCAATTAATTAATACAAAAATAATTAATCATTTAAAGGTTTCAAACCCAAGATGCCCCAAGTGCCCATCTTTTGACTTTAAAGATTATTTTATTTAAAGTCTAATCAAGGTCCATTGATTTGAAATATTTTGAGTTTCCCTCCAAATCTTCCCATCATCCAAATTTATAAACTTTGGTGTGTTTCTCCTTTTAAACCCTTACATTCCCTTTCAACTTTTTCAACGTGGGATTCTTTACATTACTAACTATCTCCAACAGTTACGTAGTTGAGTGCAGCGGTGGCGAGCCATCGGAGTTGTTTGGATGGCTTGAAGGAGAAGGGGTGGTCGGTGGAAGCTCAAAAGGGTCAGAACTTGACTCTGTTGCTTAGGGAGGCTTTGGCATTTTATGGCACCAAAGATAATCCAAGGGGTAAGAGCAAGGGTAAGTTGCTTTGTCTTGTCGGATGGTGTTATTTCAAGTTCGTGCTAATATTAATCAAAATTAATCAGAACGTTTTTTTTTTGTCGTTGTGTCTGATAATAATACATTAGTTAGACTTGTTTATCAATCGTGTCTTTTTCAAGTTGAGACACACTTCCAAACTAGAAATACATAGCTCGACCTACTTTTTTCCTTTTCCGTTAAGACACTTTCGAACTAGAAACACATAGCTTGACCTACTTTTTCTCAACTAAACCCCGCCACCCAAAATATTTTCATAAACTAAAACTCCACTCCAACCATATACTAGAAAAACTAAGTAAAATATCCTTTAATTCCAATAATTCATATATAACACAAGGTGAAGACATGGAGAAAATGAAAGAAATCAATAATTTTTTTGATACAATATTAGTGACATGATATATGTTATGTCAAAACTCATTATTTATTTTTGATACTAATCTGACATATTCAAAATAACATATCGGTTTTAAAATTGCAAAATCGATTATATAGTTAAACCTCTATTAGCAAACCCTGGGAAGAGTCTTATTTTTTTGTTCAATAATCAGGAGTGTCTTGACCAACTTATGCATATTTCGACTAATCCTCTCTGCGGTTTGATCAAAGACAAGTCATCCACAACGAGATCAGGGTATTCATGAAGGATAAATTCTTCATGGTCTAGCCCCAAGGAGTTTCCAGATTCGAACTCATGACATTTAGGTTTATAACTCGTTCAAATTATCACTTTAGTTACTTTAGGATTAGGAGAGTCTCATTTTGAACTCTTAATCAAACTAACTTCATATCTCCATCCTCCTAATGTTTTTTTAGGAGCACAGAGGCGACCAAAGTCCAACCCAAATGGGGCTCTTCTAGCATCATGGAATGCAGCAACCTCCAAGGCTAATTTTGTAGTAGCTCAAGATGGTTCTGGCAACTACAAGACCATAAATAAGGCAGTTTCAGTAGTTTCTAGAATGGGTAATAGTAGGCCAGAGAGAGTGATTGTATATGTGAAATCTGGGGTTTACATTGAGAAAGTGGAGATTGGGAGGGGAATGAAGAACTTGATGTTTATGGGTGATGGTATGGGACAGACAGTCATCACAGGTAACAGAAACGTCCAAGATGGTGCCAGAACTTTCAGCTCAACCACATTTGGTAAGGATGGTTCATCTCAAATTCTCATTTACTTCTCTACTCTTCTTTCTTTGATTATTTTGAGTGTAACTAGAGTGTGAGTGCTTAAATCGTGTAATTTCGGTTTGTATCGAGTACTAGTCTATCTTGATTCGATCAGTTTGATTAGAGGTAGCATATGTCCTAACACTAACTTGTCATGTTTATTCATGTTCGGAATAACAAACATTACCCATGAACTAAAACTTACTATTACAGCTCTATTTTTTCTCAACCAAATCTACCCCATGTAGGATCTCTTAAACTGAAAATCCACTCGGTTCTACTAGAACAAGAATTGAGAACAATAAAAAATAAAATATTTTCTTTATCTAAGGTTAAATAAATGCGTTTTTTATGTTAGAATCGAGTTATTCTCATTTAACACCAACTCAACCCTATGAATTGTGTCATTTTTAGATTCATGTCTATAATTATTTAACTCTTAACTCTTCAATTTCATGTTGGGTTGATGTCATCTTATCAAAAATTAACATCCTTAAGTGAAATTCAATGAGAATAACTAAGTCGTCCTCCATATTATTCCTTTGTTACAACAGGCCTTCTAAAACAAACTAACAAAAAACATCAATTAAAATAAAACTCAATGACGAACGTGAGGATTCCCCACTTTGCTTTTCTATTTATTTCATGCTTTTAGTGGTGAGTCACCACCTTGCTTTTGCTTTGACTTTCTTCCACTTCTAGAGGCTTGGCTCTATGTCCTCCTCCCTTGTACTTTTTTTCTTTTAGTTATATATACAAGTAGGGATCCTGTCAAACCCTCCACCTATACTGGGTGGCTTTGACAAAAAAAAAAAAACCAGATAGCTCTGTTGCACTTATGTTTACAATAGTTTTCTTCTTGCAAGAATGTCTGGTGATGGCTTTTGGCAAGGGGCATAACATTTCAGAACACTGCAGGACCCCATAAACATCAGGCAATGGCAGTTATGGTGGCTTCTGACCTCTCGGTCTTTTATCGCTGCAGCTTCTGACCTCTCTTAGTGCACTCACTACGACAATTCTATAGATACTGTCACATACATGGTATTGTCGATTTTTTATTTGGTGATGCCACAGTGGTATTTTAGAACTGTGACATTCTCGTAAAAAGGCCAATAAACCACCAATCCAACATGATCACTGCACAGGGAAGAGTTGATCCAAATGAGAATACTGGGATTTCAAATGTCAACTCTCGGGTCGCACCTGCCCCAGATTTTGCTTCTGTTAAAGGCGCAATCAAGAGTTATTTAGGGCGACCATGGAAAAAATACTCGAGGACAATTTTATTCAAGACGGAAATGGATGGATTGATTGATCCAAAAGGGTGGACTGAATGGAGTGGCAACTTTGCTCTTTCAACACTATATTATGTAGAATATATGAACTCCGGTACTGGAGCTTCAACCACCCGAAGGGTGAGATGGCCTGGTTTTCATGTGTTGAATGATCCTCAACAAGCTAGCCCATTTTTAGTGAGAAATTTCATTCAGGGGGAGTCGTGGATTCCGGCGATCGGAGTGCCATTTTGGCTTGACATTTAGGTCTCTGATTGTTCTTTATGTTGTGGAAAGGGGTCTTCTTATAAATCATTTTGTTGTGCACTCAACTAGAATAAGCAACCTGTTTGTATAATTTATCAAGATGGTGTACAAAATGGTGGACACCATGGAGAGGGTTTGTGTCCCATTCAGGGTTCTTAAATCGGTCAACAAAGATAAAGAATAAAAAAAAATTATATAATAAATTACAATACAATTCAAATCTTAAAAATAAATAAACTAACTTTTATTTTTCGCAGTTAAAATCTCTTAAAATTTTACTTTAAAATTAATCCGATGACTAATATTAATATCTTAAATTTAATAGGAAAAATAGAGTCATATAGATGTGTTTGAGATGATTTTTTAAATGGAACTTATACTTCTCATAAGTATTTTAAAAAAAAAATGTTTAGAACCGCCCTAATACCACCACCACCCCCACTACAACCACCACCACCACCACCACAACTACCTCTACCACCACCACCATCCCCATTACCACCACCATCACCACAACCACCCCACCACCACCATTGTCACTATCGTCATCCCTATCACCACCGTCACCGCCCCACCACTACCTCCATTGCCCCAGCGCCACCCTCACCACCACCACCACCCTTGTCATATACCACCGATTGTTATCACCGTCGTCACCGCTCTCACCCATCACTATCATCATCTTATTATTATATTTATTGCTACTACCACCATAATCCCACTACCTTTAACATCCACCATTAGCACCCACCGTTATACACTACCACCACCCACCATAACCATTACCGTTTTTCACCACCACCATTGTCGCCAACCGCTACTATCATCGCTCACATTCACTACGATAGATGCTTAAATTCTTTTATTTCCTCTATGTTTGTTGATGGACCAAGCCCAAAAGTCCAACTCATGTTATAAGCATGGTCCGAGTTTTAAGGCTCAACTCCAAGAGGTCCACCAAGTCCAGTCCAATGTGATCGATTTGGTCAAACTCATCAAGCTCAAGGAGCATGCAAGGTCATCTGAGAGTCTCCTTTACACCACCAAGAGAGCGTCCAGGAGCCTCATTGTTCCCGCTTGGAGAGAGTCAATCTTCTCTCATCCTTTGACCAAGTCTTTTGGAGAGCATCATAAACTTCCTTGTTGTTGAGGATAGTAGAGGTCGCCAAGCTATTTAATCACTGTTAAAGTCACCTCAAATCCGTTACAGCTATTAAATGGCCCTAACCCGTTATGCCGTCAGACTAGCTATTCAATTACTACACTTAGCCCATTATAAATTGTAAGTCCCATCAACACTTGGGGGCATATCACTCATTTTGAGCACAATTCTCTCCTCCTCTTTGAAAGCTTGTAATCTCCTGCTCTCCCATTGTACCGGAGTTAATAAAATCCCGATGACCCTTGTCATTCCTAGTGGACGTAGGTCACTTTGACCGAATCACCATAAACTTGGTCTTCTCCCTTTCTACTTTACTGCATTTTATATTACTTAATTGACAGATGGTGTGCAAACTAATTTTTGTGCATCATCATTTGTGATTTAATTTTAGATGTGAATATAAATATGTTTATTGTTGACCAATTTTTTTTACTATTTCGTGCCTTTAGACACAGACAATAAACTAGTCTATATAATAAAGTACAATATCATTCAAATCTCAAAAGATAAACAAAATACTTTTCACAGTTAAGATCTTTTAAATTTTACATTAAAATTAATCCGACAACTAATATAAATACCCTAAATTTAATAGAAAAAATAGGCCCCTAAAAGTGTTTTTGAAATGACTTTTTAAAAGTATTTCTAGAACGTATAACTTTAATAAGTACTTTAAAAAATAATATTTGGAATCGCTCTACCACCACCATTACCACTGTTCCACCACCACCATCACCACGACCTCCACCACAACCACAACTACCCCCCACCACCACGATTCCCATTATAACCTCCCCCACCCACCATCACCACTCCCACCACCATCATCAATACCACAACCTCCACCACCACCATAGCCACCATTACTATCACCCCCACCCCATCACCATCAGTCTCACTACCATTATCCTTATCATCACCGTCATCGCTAGCATCGCCACCCCAACACCACCACCACCACTGTTGCTACTTTACCACCATTGTCAATGTCCCACCACCATTATCGTCGCCACCCTCACCGCCACTACCCCACCTCCATCCACACCGTACCCTAACGCCACCACTGTCGATGCCACTGCCCCAACCGCTGTCATTCACCACCATCGTCATCTCATTCTTATATTTATTACCACTATTACCATCATCCCACTACCACCGTCGTCTTCCGTCAGCACCCACCACCACCCGTTGTCGCCATCATCGAGATAGTCATTGTAACGCCCCAAAATTCACTCTTAAAAGCATTACTATTTACAAATTATCCAACCATGAGAGCGACTAAAAATAACCATTAGAATAATCAATCATTCATCCATACAATAAGAATAAATGATAAAAGCCAATAAAAACATTACAACCTCTCCAACTTACAATTCAAACCAAATAGTACATAGCAACAGGAATAATCAAAACTAGCTGAATTATTGTTTCATAGGAATCTTTCAAATAAAATAATCTAGACTAAGATGAAATATCTCTAAGCCTCCACTTCAGGATCCTCATACCGACCTTCTCCATTCTCGAGGTCGACCTACTCATCTAATTCGATATCCTCCTCTCTGCCAAAATCTATAAATGTGTTGTAAGGGGTGAACAAAAGCCCATAAAAAATTTCTCTCAAATCCAAACAAATTTTAAAACAATAAAAATAAGGCAAGTCTCTTTTAAAAAATAGTATATATATCGTTTTGAAAGCAAAACAATAACAGTTGTAATGATCTCAAGTGCATGGAATTTAATAAATCAATGAAAGGAATAAACATGTCTGAATTAAAACAATCAATTAATAACTCAGTAGCATTATACAATATTTTTATGTATGTTATTATTTCTCAGGAATCTACACAACGATTCTACCTCATTCACCCACCACAAACCAAACAATCTCAATCATTCCTCGCAGGACACATCATAAACCACTTTTGGAAGGGTGTATACTGTCTCCCACGACATTAACAAATCATTCATAATCCCTTAGCCCCGAATTTACGTGAACAATAGTAGTTGCTCTCATAAACAATAATCTACTACAAGTGTTAGACAATCATCTCACCCCTATTGGGATAGACTAACTTCTAACACTTTACGACAGCTCTCAAAGACAATTTAAGTCCGTCACACCCAAATCATAGAAGAGATAAAACCATAATTTTCTCAACAATCACAATTTTAATCAATCATATTTTTCATTAACAATTCAAGTATCACAATTGCACAATTCTCAATATATTGTAGTATTAAAGGAATGAAAATATGCAACAGATCATATCAGTAAAACCTTCACAATTTTGATATCAAAATTCTAGGGTTTTACCAAAAATCATAATTTCTTAAAATAAGAACAAGTATTAGATGAAAACATGATCTAATCAAGAATAGGAATTTATAAATCAAGAACCCATGTATTTTTCATAACCAAACATGTATTTAGCAAAATCAAGGTTTTTCCTTGAACCCAAACATGTATTTTGTTTAAAACTACGTTTTGATGAGAAAGAAATCAATAACTCATAAATATTTATCATATAACTACTAAGAAGATTGAAAATATACATAAATAATACCCTAAGTCTCAATGAAAGAACTTGAGAAGAATTCTCTACCTTTAATTAGATGATTGAAGATAACTCTAGCGTGTTTGAATCAATTCCGAAGAGAGAATCCTCCTCATGTCTCCTCTCTTTCTTCATTTTTAAGCTTTCTAGGGTTTTTTCGGATGAACAGTTGCTGAACATAGGCCTAAGGGTCATTCCCTACGTATTTATAATGCCAAAAGTGGAGAAAACACTCAACAAAGATCGTTCAAAGTTCTGCTTGGTGCGTTCAAACGAGTGTTTCTCTCGTCCGGACGTGCCTAACTTTTTGTCCAGATTTCGAATGACATTTTGACCTAGTTAGAAACCGATTCACGAATTTTTTATGAAATACACTTATATAACCCTTGAAATATCATATTCTCTTGCCCTAAACACAATACTCAATGTTAGATGACATTAAGGCCATGGCGGCATCGGCTGCAATTAATTTGGCAATGGAATCGAAATTTCAAAAGATTGTTTTGGAAGGAGACTCGAAGGCTGTTATTGAAGCAATAAGGCAGTGACAAATGTGGTTGTTGAACTTTGGTCATTTTGTGGATTATATGGTGTTGTGTAACCAAAAGATCAGCAGTTTTTTAGCGTCCTAGGTTCATAGAGACGAAAATTTGAGTGCCTATTGTCTTGCTAGACATCCTGCTAATAGTTCAGATTAGTATATGGAGGGAAGGAGTGTCTACTTTCTTGTTAACTCTCCTCCAAAATGATGTATCCTCTTTGAATTAATAATTTTTTTTTTGTTTCTTTTAAAAAAAAAATGTTAGACGACACTATTAATCTACACATATCTCTATCTTCTCTCTCTCTTACACCTTTTTTATTTGCTCTCAGTGCACCCTAATTTTTTACAAAGTGTTTTTAGATACGATGTAATTGCTAGTGTCTTTTATAAAAGAGTGAGAATGTTTTAGAAGTTTTCCCTCCCAAATCTTATTTTCTCATAATTTTGAGTTATTTAATTAACTTTCTTCAATTGAATTTTGACATGGAGTCTATGTAACCACTTCAAACTTTTTAATAATTACTAATGATTTAAATTTATCATTATCTTTATTAACTACTTTACATTTAATTTTTTATATAATATCAATTTATTAGGTTAATAAATAATTTTTTAATAATATTAGGATGGGATGGAGCTATAGGGGACGGTGGAGTGGAGTCGGAGTAAGAATGACGATAGTGTTTATACATTGAATGCGATCCATCTAGGAGACTCAACTGTAACATAACACAACTTA